CAAACCATCGTCACTTCGGTAGGTGCTCACAATTCTCCCACGCAGGGAAGACCGGATGTAAAGTAAGACACCACCGTGGGAATTCTCTAGTCTATCGCATCTGAAGCACGAATAACCGTTGAGTTCAAGTCATTGGGTGTATAACTCTGAATGCAGCCATGTCTCTGCGAGTCCCACGACGTCTGACCGTTCAGGCGCAACGAAACAACAAAGTTCATTGCACTTGTTCATAAGACTGCAAACGTTTGTGAAGGCTACTCGCAGGTTGCAGCAAGAGCCCCCGGGCGTGCTTTGAAGTCTGTGCAGCCAGTTTAGCTTGATACGCAGATTCTGGGAAACCAACCGAAAAGTTACGATATGAAGATTTGTTTCCCTCTCACCAGTAGGTCTTTTCAGCTCAATGATGGCAGACTTGAACCGCTCCCAATCTACTGGGTCCAGGTATGGACGAACATGGATCTTCAAACCTTTCAGCTTATTTAGGCCGGACATGATCAGTCTTGGACTGGCTTCGTCCACAAAAGTGATTCCCATAGGCCGATTTCGTTGATCACCCTGCTTTCTAAGACGGGTAATTTGCTTCACTTTTACCGAGTCCTCACCAGCGTCAAGGAGTCTGTCAATTAGACTCTGTAAAAGCTCGACATCGTGATCGTAGCGCACTTGGGGTGATGGAGCACTGGACTCCGGCGCGTGGAAGATCACGAGATTATAACGCCTCTGGTCGGAGAATGTTGACCTTGCAGGGCGAAGTATACTACCAGCCTCAGGTGGTTTGACTAACTGTTGACTTACAGAAGTTATACGCCTAACATCCCTTTGTAATTTCGTTCTTTCCACTGGTCTTCAGCACTCAGACTCACCTGATAGGACATCAGTGTCCGTTGGACACAACTAAGGTAAACAATTTATGCCAGGTGCAACTGGGCTTCTCACAACGTAGAGGTACTTACGGGGCAAAGACAGCCAAGACCCTATGTAGAATTGATCTTTCTCACTGTAATGCTGCCACCAGGCAACAGATTATTAAACCCGCCACAAATGTGGATGTCGATGGCATCCCCATAAAACTGGAAGGCCTGACATACCACTGCAGTTTTTGAACATGTTTATGCTTTCTCTGGAACAAAGACACTTCCAAGAGTAATGGATTATTTCATTTATCATCCTTCGCCATAAAGTTGGTCCGAAACAGAACATTATCCGACCATATTATTCGTAAAATGTTTTAAAATAGGCATGATGAATTGCATCAATTCATTGGAGCTGATGTCTAAGTCCTAGCATAGTTAACTTGACAGGTGCCAATGCACAACCTGTCAGACTCTATGTAAGAGGTACTCGATCGGGTGACTCCAGAATGGTGCTCCTCCCTTTATTCTTGTAAATCAAATTACTAGGTTGGTTATCCACATACCTGTGTCAAATCACCAATGGGGTTATACAAGGGTGCTCGGTGAATTACTGTTTTATATCAATGACATTAGTATTGTTCTCAGTGCATGTCATTTCGGTTGCTGATGACATAAAAAGTGTCTACCAGTTGACCTTCAGAACGTACTAATAATTGTTCCGGATGACATGCACTCCAGTGAGACTTGGTGTAACAAGCGGATGATGAAGTTCTCAGCTAAAACATGAAGTGTCATGTGGCGCGATTGCTTGATACCTGAAGGACCTATCACACTTAACAACGAATACATCTGTCCACAACTGTCTGCCCGAGCACTCGGAATCCGGTAATTCGTCTGACTTCAACCTTGGGGCAGGTGGATAGACAGCTATCGCGGACTAGACAGGAGCAACACAATCCCAGCTAGTTGGATTTATAAACCCCCACTCGTCCCCTTCTGGAGTGTTACAGCGGAATGAGGAAACTAATAGAACAGCTCTGGAAATTCTACATAGGTCCTTCAGAAAATATGTATTAGGAGAAAATCCCACCAAGAACTATGGGGAACGGTGCTAAAAACCCCAGGTTGTTCCGTTTTTGCTACGATGAGTAGAGAATAACTTGATGCTGCTGTCTAATCTGCTCCATCGAAAGGCCTTTGCGATTCGCTTATATTAAAATTGCAGCACAGTTCTACTCGGGATCGTAGTAACAAGGGCTGAACCCTGGTTGTACCAAGGAGCAGGACAAATGTAGGTCTAGTTCCTATCATGTAGCATAGGCTACTAATTACAATCAGGCTGTTTGGGAGTACAGCAAACGTTTGTATAAGCTCGGAAGGTACCTCAACCTGAACGTGATTATGGCCTTGTATCCCTAGGCAGACCACCCGATGAGCTGTTTCAAGGGGGGCGCAGATAACATCTAATGAGTGAAAGAGGAGAAATCCTTACAATGTAAGCAACTATTAGTGACCGTAATAATCGCGAAATGCACCAGCACTCTCCATTTTGGGGGTGAAGCATAAACCTGTGGGCCATATACAAGGTTAGACAAAAAAAGCACACAACTGTGTAGTTACTCCTGCAAAATCCTGAAACCACCTGGGCGAATACGATGTACCAATAATGGACACAGCTTCGCACAAGAGAAACACGACTATCATTATTGCTGTACCGAGCCAGCGCCTTTGTTAGAATATCACGTGTAACGACACGCTTGGAGGTAAACTCAGATTTCCAGAGTCACAATCCCGAAATCCAAGCCAGGAAACCGTTTCGTCTGACAGCAAGTCAAGGGGTGTGAATTAGACTATCAGCATGATACTACTCACAGATGCAAGGTAGTTCATCAAGAATCCACATTTCTAAACCCTTGGTTTTTTGAGGGCAGCCACAACGGAGGAACGCAGCGGTAGCTGCCTACCAATAACCGTCGTCCTTCGGTTAGAAGCAGTATGTCCTCACGTTTCATGGACATACTATCCTGCGCAAGGATTTCGGTCGAGTGAGTCGAACGCAGACTTGAAGACGAGGAACACAGCTATTGTCAGTTTGCGGCACGTCTGACCCTCCCACAACACGTGGCTTGGTTTATACATTACTACGCTGGACAGTAATCCACTTACTCTCCCCTAAATCGGGATTCTCATTCCGCAGTGAGGCGACTAGGCAGAATTGAGGCCAGTAGCATTGTACCCAGTGGCGCTAAGCTAATACCCCTGGGGTTGGTTATCGGTACGACTCAACTCCTTGTATATTGCCACTACAATTAGCTGGGATGGTGTCTTATTTCCGGACCTATTCGACCAGGTCAGTCAGCATCTTGCAGAATACCTTACCACCATCGTCAAACAGTGCGGGTGGGAGGGAATCCTGGCCAGCAGCACAAAACGAATAAGGGCTGTGGTCGCGTTTCTGACCTCAGATAAAGCCATAAATATATTAACCGGTCGTCTAACAAGTTTTCTGAAAATAATGACTTCCCGATCGGTTGCAAATATGTTCCAAGATATCGAGCCTCTAAACTAACTCGCCATGACGGTCTGCCGCACATAAGAGGGAAGAGTCAGGGAGCACGAGGGCAACTGAACTGATCTCGAAAGTGCTCCGCCCAACGAGTCATACGGCACTCCTCATGTGTATTGTGCCACCTGCGTTGTCTCTGATTAAATTACCGACGCTTGGGACCAGTGGTACAGATCAGTGAAAAGTGCTTGCTCTAACTGCCCAGTGCTCCCGCATTCCCCACTTCGTGAGTCTTATCGCTCCACCAGGATTCCGTCAACGCACAGGCTCCGCTTTAGTTCGCGCCTGATAATCCCTCCGGTTGCATTATGCTCAAGGGCAGAGGGGAGTTTGCTTGCGGACCCCAACAGATTCATCGATCTCTCGGATTTGGTGTGGCGACGATTGATAGTGCATCAAGCACAAGAATCTCGCGACACGCATGGCCACCGATACTCTAGTCCCCTGAAGTGTCATTAGGAGGAGGAGGTGAAACTCCGATATGTAAAGCAGGCTGACCGAGAACTGGGATAGCAGCTTCAGTTACCAATCCAGAGAGACGCTTTGTACGACAACATAACACCACATGATCAGAGTCGAATCAAAATTCTCAAAATGAGCGACAATCCAGCATTCAATCACGCCACCCGTAACCAATAGTAATGTGATCGATTCGACTGCATCCCTGACCAGATATAGGTGGACGGTAAATGTCACTTCGGTGATCAATGTGTCTAAAAGTGCTAAGGAACAGCCAGGGCTCCACGAAGAGTTTATGGTCAACCGGACTACCTATCTCTATGCCATCGATCTGCTTCACACAACTGGAAATGAATTTTAATTGTGCACAAACGCAGTAACAACTTGAAGCGATGTGTTGGAAACCGCACCTTAACAGAATGCCGATGAGGTTTGAAATCTCTTTTGATAGTGTACCCGACTAGCGCACACGGGACCAGTTTGATCAGCTCAGCTGGGTTAGTATTGACGAGATGGAAGGTTAACTTACCAAGATCTTCCGCATACTGCCCAATTACCTAGTCAACAGCGTAGGAATATCGATAGTCAAGCTTTTCGTTTGTATCCAGTGGAAAGCGTGCACGCCATAGAAACATAATAACTGGGGAAGTGCGTCATCATAGTGCCGACACCGCTGTAATGTAGAGTAGATTTTCAGCTCGATGTTGGTAGGATCAGGCAGGAAGGTTGGATTGGTGCTTCGCTGCCCTAAGTGTAATGTGGAATAATGGTACAATGCTGATAAGATACAGAGAAAACGCCTGGGTCCAGAACTACTTACTCTTGGGTGATGTGTAGTCGAGCGATGAACGCACTATCAAGATAGACGTGACAATCAACGCTTGATTTCACGTATCACTCGTTTTATGAAATATCGGTTGGATCATCATCATCATCATTATACATGTCAGCTAGAGATGGTAAAACACCTCCGCTATTGTACCGCAATCGGTTGGATGATAAGCATTGTTTCCATAGAACTTAAGGAACCAACACTCTGACTTGTTCTTAAAACCAGCGATCCAAAAACATCTGAATGTACTAAAGAATGAACGACAACCACCTGCGTGGAAGACGGATTAAAGAAGCAAGGTGGTACCGCTATCGTTTGAGCAGCAACCAATCTCCTGGCAGCTAAGTACAATTGTGTTTTAGAGAAAAGGCAGGTGATGTCAAAACCGATTTAAGGAGTTCAAACAGGTTCATACGAAGAAACAAGCATAACGCGGTTATACATCAACAGACACGCGAATATCATCAATCTTGAGAATCATTTTGCACAACTGCACTGCCAACATGATTTGTGCGCGTTTTGAGCTAAGCGTCTCCAGGATATTTAGAGATTTCATGTCGTTTGTGCCCACATTAAGACAATCAACTCCAAGACAAGGGTTATTCTCTGCATGTTGGCGTGCTTTGAGCTCGGCAACCGTCAAGATGGGAGGAAGGCCTGAATTTTCTGCCAAAGCCATCGGTATGGCTTCCAGTGCGTCGGCGAAGGCACGCATCGCATATTGCTCCAACCCTTCCACTTTATCAGCCTCGGAAGAAACGGCCAGAGAACAAGCGATTTCAGAGGCACCACCACCAGCAACAACACGTGAATCCCTTACCTGAAAAAGAAAAGGCAATATCAACAAGTAATGGTAGGTGTTCGATGATAAACTGAAGTTGTAAATAAAAAAAAGCCTAAGCGAAACAGCCACTAATCATTCGGTTAGCCTTTTAATCGCAAACGTTTATGCGCAGCAATCAGCCTGCTTTAAGCAACACATTTACGAGCAGTCACTGGTATGCTGACATTACCAAGAACGTAGAGGCCAATTACGTTCGACTACCGGTGCCTTCGCACCTTGGCCCACATCTGGTGGGAACACCGCGTGAGCAATGAGCCTGTTCGGCGCATTGTTTATGACACAGGAAAAGGAAGTGAAGCTCTCAACACGGTTACGTCACGAACCATGCTCCGATGGCTGCGCCAAATGTTGCGTATGCTAGCACACCGACTCCCGCATCGCGCGGTGTTTGCGCGCCGGCGTTGCGGATGGAAGAAGAGGAAGGGAGGCCAACCGAAGACATGGTCAAAAAGAATGAAGGCTCACACTTCGAAGTTGCCCTCAGTTGGTGGCTCTCGGTTTTCTGGTTGGGGTCCAAAAGACGATAAACACGCTTGGCTGGCTACACTAGTTGAGATGGCTAAAAGCCGATCACAGTGGCATTTATGCTGTAAATTTCTTTGTCGCTCCAATCAGAATCTCATTCCTGTAGCATAATATAACCTTTCTGAAGCAGAACAGCCGGCCTGTTAGCTCTCCGAAGAACAACGATATCACATGTTACTTGTGGCTCAGCTGGCGCGCCAATGTTGCGTCTCTCCATTATATTTTTCCTCTTAAGTATTGCGGCCCACACAATGTCAGAGGCGTCCCCACCTCTAGCTAACGTGAATGAATGACATCGTATTACCAAGAAACCTGTCCCAAGAAAAAAGGTATATTCTAATAACGGGCGAATGGCAATGTAACATTACAAGGTGAAACAAGTGAGCAGATGCAAACCGTGTGCCCAATGAGATGCATAAATGTTCAAGTCCAAACAAGATAGACAACAGGTGAAAGCTGTTAGAGTCCAGCGCGTGCGGTACTATCAGTAGCTGTGAAAACGAATTAACGGCTAGTGGCCGGTGAAGCGCGATGCAAAAAACGTCTTCCGTTGTAACAGGTATTTGTAAAACGTACTGATCATGTATTTAAGACTAGTACAATCAATCAGCAATAGAGGGACACTCATGCGTGCCAATGCGGACAACCAACAAGAAGCGCGCAACTTTCGGACAAGCAGTGGCTATGCGGATGTCATAGTGTAGTGATGACAAAGGCGACGAAGAGCATGTGCCACTCCACGGAGTGCGCAGCAAAACATAGGATCAATAGCAAGGTGGGTGAAGGAATGGAACACGCAGAGTTTGACTAATCTTACGCCCATGAGTAAGTGAAGCACAACTCCGTTCGGTGTAAGATTTGCATTAGCAGAGAGCAAACGATGAAGTCAGATATAGGTTCTATATCGGTGACAACGGTTAGCACCCACCCGATCCGTCCAAACTGGAAAGCCCAAAGTAAAGTATAGCGCTCGTGTTACTAATTGTCATGATCACAAGCGCGTAAACAGAGCTTGGTACCTAATAAATGGCGAAAAACGCGGATACCCTAAAAATTAAATATAATCGGACCTATGTTTTGATAATTACTCAAACTAAGTTCGCAAGGTTGATCACATCTTTCAGTAACCTAGCGTGTTGGGTAACCCCATGATCGGCGTAGCAGCTGGATTAGACGATACCCTGCGACACCAAATAAAACTAGAGGCAGACTGCAAGGCGACCAAGCCTCCAATACAGTAAACATTTGAGACAAAACGAGTGGGCGGCTGTCGATCAATTTGTTGGATAAGGTCTCATTGTCTATTGTAGCATTATATAAGGCAAAAGCAACATTCTATCGGTGAACGCTGCTTCAACAAAAAGGAACACGGAGATGTGTAACACTCGCGAATCTGATTAGCGTGAGACAACTGCCGATTACCGTTCTTAGATGTTAGATGCATTCCGGCCATAATGATGAGGCGCAATGGTTTGCGTGCCTCAGAGATCTACTGAGCTATGCTGGGTGGTGCTTTTGCACCTTCAGAGCCACTCATACCAGACTGATCAATGGTTAGAGGCCAGACTCCAGGTTGAGGGTTGGAATGAGGGTGGCTCCTTATACCTTAAAACGGACTCTTTGTAGCCCACTGCCTTGCGGTCAGGTTTTTGAACCAAACGCCTTGGTTGAGAACCCTAATCGTTCTCCTATCTAGATCTGGGTAACCTGACAGTATCCCGCCTACGAAACACTATGAACCTCTCCTTAAACAATTTCTTAACCCTCTGGCCGTCACAGAGGATAAATGGCGCCCTATCTGTTGCATCGAGTAGGGTATATAGGGGTTTAGATGCTACTGCTAAAATCTTCTCGTCTTCTTATTCCCTCGCTTACGCTTTCAACCTTTTCGTCCTGTTCCAGCTTCACTTTCGTTCCCCATGTTTTAACCCCACCCCCACCTTGCTTTGATAGGCGTTTACCTTTTAGTTGCAAGACATACAAACGCAAAGCATCACTCCTGCCCCGTGGACAAGCCCATGTCTAAGCAAACGGTCAAGTCCAGTTCATCGGCTTCCATTTGTATCCTTCGATCCTCCTTCAGATTGGCATGCATCAACGTACGCACATTGTTATAGATCGGTCCACAGACAGCAACAGCCCGAACCGTAGGAACTTTCTCGATCAATATCTGCTGCTTATCGGAAACCCGCCTAAGAGTCACGAGCTCTGTACTCGCTTTGCGATCCCCTTCAGGTGACACTAGCAGTGCTTTCTCATTGCGCCTATCCGGAGTCGATGCAGCTTCGAGTACTGGTCAAGCCGGTGTTGGTATTGCCCTGAGTCCCCGAGCTGAAGCTGCTCTGGTTGATTGGAACCCAATTAGTAGCCGGATGTGTGCGCTTCAATTGGATGGCTCGTTCAAAGCTTCGAAGTCGCGCGGGACCAACAGGTGTCTATTCATCATCGCTGCTTACGCGCCGACAAACTGTAGAGATGATTCGGTAGAAGACAACCTCTATCGCCAACTGAACGAACCCCAATGCCACAGAAGAAGCACGAGCACTGTTGTGCAGGTTGAGGATCTGAAGGCTCGTTAGAAAATTGTCCACTGATGAACTGCATCTGGGCGGCCAATACGGTGCAGGCTTCCGCAATGATAACGGTGAGCGGTTATTCCATTTGTGTGAAGACGCCCGCTTATTTCTTGTGAGCACTTACTTCCGACACAGCACCCGCCTCCCAGCTTTGGACGCAAATTGACCACATTGTGATCAGTTTCCGCTGGAAAGGTTGCGTCCAGAACTGTCGCTCAATTTGGAGCACATATGTGAACACTGACCATGCACTTGTATGTGCTGATCTGCCGGTGCGTTTTGGGCGGACGCCCATGACGACCTTGCGGGCGTATTGACACCAGCCAACTGGCGAAGCCAGCTGTTCTGAATGCGTATCAAAGTACGCTGACTAGCGGGTTGAGTAAGCGCTTATTAAGTAGAGTTGAACGTCACGAGTAGCATGTTAACCAGACCTTACTAGCAGCAGGTAGATTCTCATGTGGTAAGTTTAATCGCCAACATGGACATAAGGTCTCATCGCAGTCTCTGGAACATATCGATGCTAGCCGGAACATGACGGGTGCAAGCGAACACAATGGAACTCGCATAAATCTCCGTACTAGCCTGAAGGGAGAACATGAATCTTAGTGGCCTCAAGGTGCTTCATAGATGGAAGTGGCTTCTGCCCTTGGTAACCATTGGGAGTTATTTTGTCTGATGCGGGAAACGGGCAGCAGGAGACCTGGTGTTAGTGAAACTAGTTATGACGAGAGTGGACAAGTTATTCACAACTGCTAAAAACGGTTGGAGCGTTGGGTCGAGCACTTTGAAAAGCAATTTAATCAGTCGGGATTGTCCGATTTCTCGACGGTCACTGACCGCCCTGCTCCCTGAACTGTTCCTTTAGCTCCGACCTCTCGCTTAGGAATCGAACGTGAGATCAAACTGTTGAAGTTGAATAAAAGCCGCTAGACCAGATGATCTTCAACCGGCCCTCTTCAAATTCGGAGGCCTCGCTATTGTGGAATATTTTTACGTGTTACCAGTGAAAGTGTGGGAGCAGGAAACTGTCCCAACCGACTGGCGACGCTCCCTTATTGTCCCGATCTTAAAAGACGCTCACGATCGGAATGCAGCAACCATAGAGGAATCAGTGTTATCTCCATCGCTCGAAAGTTGTTTGCCTCTGTCTTCCTTCACAGACTGACTGGCACTCATGAAGAGCACGCCGGGTTTCATCGAGGTCGGGGCTGCATCGATCACATCTTCACTTTGTGTCGGTTGTTGGAGCACGGTCACACACATTTGCGCCCCACCGTAATCGTGTTCCCAAACAACAAACTCGGTTGATCGATGTGCCCTTTGAAATTGTCTACTAAGGATATGTGTGTCCGAGAAATATGTAATTATTATCCAAGCGCGTGGCTCGGGCAGAGTGAAGGCTTACGGCAAGCTGTCGTCGCCATTCGATATGTCCAGCGGTAAGACAGAGATGCCCGCTGTCACCATTCCTCTTCAATTTCGCTACTGACGAAGTCAAAGATCACGTTCACAGGACACGACTTGGAAGGCGTGGAGTTGCTCCCAGGTGAACGACTTCTTGACTCGGGATATGCTGACGATATTGCCCACATATATGGTTGGCGGCATCCGGTTTCGGATTTGCTGTCACTGTGGCAAGCACAGGACGCCTGCGCCTACAGAGGGACCATGGATGGCTTGCGCTGCACCACCACAGCTCAACCCCTACCCAAATCCAGTGTAAACCCGAAGGAATAACGACCGGGAGGCATGTGGATGGAGAGCCACGTTACATCAACGGAGCCGGCCCACACTCCTTCATAGGCAAACACAAGTACGCTGTATTTGGGGAATCAAGCGCACACAAGGCGGTGGCTGGACCGTAGTCCGCTC